ATGGGTACCTCTTACTAGAATGCCCATGCCCTGGCCCTCGTGAATAAGAATCATGGTGTCATCAAGGTTTTAGGGTACCAACTCCTAAATGTTTATTCCTTCTTTTTCATGTTACATCATTATTATATATGTCAAATCTGGGAAAAGAGATATAGAATTACCTCTAACATCCGGCTCTGATATCGCATCCTGGGGAAGGAACCGTGTTTTCAAAGCCCCCATGCCTTTATTCCTCCGGGTTTAGGCATTATCTTTTCTACCTCAAGCCAGGTGAACTCCAATCCTCAAAGTTTGTTTGCTCTTTTGGTGATTATGGCGGCTTACTATGTTCCGGCCCTCTAAGTCAGTTTGTTGTTCTTCCCAAGGATTTATGGGTGTGAAACCCTCTAAGTCCCACTCTAACCCTTCTCCTTGCGTCTATGGAGGCATGAGCTTTTCTACCTATGGGGGGCATAATATTTTCTACCTCCTTTATTTTTAGAAAGTGACATAACCTTTTTTACCTCCCTGATCTAATATGGGTATTATCTTATCTACCCGGGGGTAATTTCCATCCTTTTTTGGAAGAACTATAGAACAAAACTTGGTAGTTTATTAATTAATCAAAACGATTACATTGGACATCACATATAGTATTTAACCAAGTGCTCTAGCTCTTTATTCTATGTTCTATCTATCTCCTTCCCTTTGGGGATCATCAGCTTGTAAGTACCCGACAGAGGATTGCCTTAATAATATAGGGACGCTCATATGGCTTAACTAACTTTCCACCCTTGTTCGACTTACTCTTCTCCCTCTTTTTCAGAACATAGTTACTCACTTAGAACTTCCTAAGCTTCACCCTACCATCGAAGTAGGATTTCACCTGCCTTCTATAATTCTCAGCCCGGATCCTCGCTTCATTTCTTCTTTCCTCCAAAAAGTTAATCTCGATTGATTGATTCTCTTTATTCTATTGAGGGTCATATTGTTGCTCTCTCCAGGTTAGGATCGCCGTCTTTGTTGGTGCCTAGGCTTCAAATCCATATGCCAGGCCAAATGACGTGTCCCCAGTTACCCTCTTAGGAGTTGTTCAATAGGCTCAAAGAATCCTGGGTAACTCGTCAGCCCAACTACTACCTTCGGCCCGCAACTTCTTCTTAATGTCATCCAGGATGGTCATTTTTACATTTTCTACCTGGCCATTAGCTTGTGGGTATACTACGGAAGCCTTACTTTGGAGGATCCCCCACATCTTCACAAAACCCGTGAACTTTCCCCCCTCAAACTAGGTTCCATTGTAGTTTGAGGGGGAGTATATTTTTATTTTGAGGGAAAATATTATACACGCTGCACTCTTTTTCCCTTAACTAAGTTTTGTCCCACTGGATTTTCTTAGTAAGGTTTTTAATGAGGCAGCATAACTGATCCTGCAGTATCAGTTAATATAGGTCCTGAAGAACCTAGCCAACATTATCCTATAGCATAATGTTGTTAGTGTATAATGAACGATGATATATCTGAGGGGGAGTGTTAAATATGGCAGATATATTACTCTTAGTATTTAGAATATCTGGTTATCTTGTTTACCTAGACTTTACCTCCTCCCCGTGTATGTATAAATACCCCACCCCAATATATGATGAATAAACTACTCAGTTCACAACAAAGGAGTATTATTGTTATTAATTTTTCTTACTCTATTGTTACCATATTTTTTAATTCTATTTAGTTCATATTCTCCAAGTATTCTCCAAGTATTCCAAGGATATGATTATTGTATCAGTCATCTCTTAATATACAAAGGTGAAGGGAAAACATGAACAGTGTTTTTCCCGCCTAAGGTAATGGGCTTTGGGTTGGATCAACGAGTTGGGTGTTGATTCTCGGGTATCCAAATTTGTAAAGAAGAAAATGGTCCAATTCATATATGGGTGTTACGATCGGGTATCCAAATGCTTTTGGAAAAAGCACTTTTCATCTCGGGTATCCAGGCATCTAAAGAAGACATAGGGAAACGAAATTTTAATTTTCTTTTAATGCAATGCATTTAATGGATTTAAGAAGCATGCCTTTAGGGTATCTGTGTGTGTAACGAAGACATGGGGAGACGAGATTTTAAGCTTTTGACGGCTTGGTCGTATTTTTGACATGTTCCCAAGTAAAGAAATCATTATTTCTCACCACTCCATACAAAAAAATTATTATTTAAAGACAACCCTTCTTTACACAACCATTTCTAAATTCTACACCATTAGAGCTCTTCGAAATTTCCATCTCAATATGGCTCCCAAATGCATTTTTCCAGGTCTATTTACCAATCTCAATGTCCTCCAAAGTGACCAAAAGAACATTGCTATTCATGTACGAGTTGTACGTGTCTACCATTTTAATCTTTTTGGAAGAAATGTTGAATCAATGGAGGTTATGTTTCATGATAATGGGGTATGTGATCTTTTTCTAAAAAATGCCAATGATTCCAGTTATTTTTTAGGCCTTTGATTTTCGCTCATTAAACAAATAAATAACAGTGGAGGAATAGGTTTTTAGAAATATTTTCTTGGTGTGAAACTCAAACAAATTATTAATTTTTTTTGGATATTGCATTCAAATAAACGTACATGAAAATTCTTAAAACATATTATATTGTTTTGTTGATGATACTCGAAAAAAAGCAAGAGATCAAAGTATCTTGCATTTAATGCACTGAACAATTATGTTTAAAAAATTATAAGAGTCAATTTTTTAAAATAAAAATCATATTTATATATTACTCCATCCATCCCCCTAAGATCTTCTCATTTTAACTTTTTGTGATTTTTAAGAAGAGTTGAAAAATGGAGAAAGTTTACCAAAAAAAACCCTTGATGAAAATAGGTTGGGTGTCTTAAATAAGGTGGAAAAGGTGTAATATATAAAGTAAGTGGGGGTAGTTGTGGTATTTTAAATGTTAAAAAAGGTAATGAGAAAATCTATGTGGGACAAATAAAAAGGGCTAATAGAAAGATCTATGGTGGACAGAGGGGTATTAAAAAAGTAAATTTATTCAAGTATTAAAATTTATTTTTTGTTATATATTTAGTCAAGTTTTAAAATTTGCTTTTCTTAACAATTTTTATATATAATTAAAACGGTAAAATCATTTTGAAAATTGAACTTAAATTATATTATAAAATATGTATAAAATGAATATTATTTACAATAGATAATAGGCCTAAATTACTTTATACTCCGTATAAGAAATCCAAATTAAAATGAATATCCCATTTACACACAGTCCCAAAAATTGTAATGATAGTATACGTGGCTCAAGAAGTACCGTGCATTTAATACTATGATAATTTACGAGGCTCAAGAAGTATCGTGCATTTAAAAAATTCAATAATATTAATTTCATTGAGAAGACAAAAAAAAAGATACTCCCTCCGTCCTATAATGATCTTCCCAGAGCACTATTCCAACTTCACGGGAATTTATATTTATTTGTGTTTTTTCATGACTTATATGATAAAATAAAATATTCTTGTCACCACTTGTTTTGTTGAACTTTTGATGTAGTTTTTAAATGTGTATGTTTTATTTTTTATTTCTATACCAATATTTAAATAAAATAGATTGAAAAAACTTGGGATTTTTCTTCGTTTTGCGAACCGGGAAGATCATTATACGTTACATTGAGAAACACGTTAGATATATATGGCTATTAATTGCATTAGGAGGTGAAGTGGCAGGTTTATTTTAAAAATTATACAAGTCAATATTTTAAAGTAAAAATCATATTTATATATTATTAAAATGTTAAATTTATTCAAGTATTAAAATTTATTTTTTGTTAAAAATTTATTCAAGTAATGAAAATGGGTTTTTGTTAAAATTGTTAAATTTATTTTTTTGTTAAAATTTAATCAAGTATTCAAATTTATTTTTTGTTATAAATTTATTTTTGTTAACATTTATTTTTTGTTATAAATTTATTCAAGTATTTTTTGTTATAAATTTATTCAAGTTATGAAAATTTATTTTTGTTAAAATTTTTGTAACTTATAGATCAAATCCAATATTTCTTAAAATTGAACTTTAATTATATTATATTATATATACATATATATATATATATATATATTAATTCCAAAAAATATTTTTCAAAGATATTTTTACATAAGAAATAAAATAAATTTGAGTCACGCACCCACATTAATTGTGAAAAAAAAAGCAATTCATTTTTTACTTTGAGCCACGCACCCAAAACTACATTAATGGTGGAAACAACTTGAGAATAAGGAGAGGGAGTACATGATTGTGCACTCACTTGATTCAAGGAAAAATCATGGGTGGTAAGAATGCAGCCCACGAAGTAGTCATACCTCGACTTACACTCACTCTTCAAAGGAAGCAGTTCCTTATTATGACTTCCTACGCAATGATAATTAACAAAAGTCAAGGCCAATCATTGAAACATTTGAGATTATTGCTCAAGAAACCAATTTTCAATCACGACCAACTTTATGTTGTTGTCTCCCAAGTGACTAATCAACGTGGTTTGAAGATTTTGATTTGTAATGATGACCTACAACCTTCAAATAACACAAGAAATGTAGTCTACAAAAAAAGTCTTTCAGAACATTTAATGTAGTCTATTTTTTGTTTTTGCTATGCATTTCTCAATATTACTATAGTATGTAATACTTTTAATGCTTATATTTAAAATAATTTCATTTCGTTGTCTTTATTTCCATTATAAATATAAATTTTATTTTTTATTTATTGTGCCAAACTAATGACTTTGCAACGCACAGATTAGAGAACTAGTGTATTACAAAAATAATTATAAAAAAACATTGTAATCAGAGGAAAAGTAACATAAGAACTGAGGTTTAAAAAGAGAAACTCTCAATCCCCTAATTAGTACTCCGTACTACCTTTCATCTCATCACTATAAAATCTCAATGTAACGTCAAAAATTGTTGAAAGTCAAAACCACATTACATTAATCAATTAAAATTTAACACATATTCACCTTTCATCACATTCCTTCACACTCACCATAACACACATTTTTCATCAACCCACATCATACATTTTTAAACCCCGTCAAGCCCGTCATTACACATGGCATAAAAGACATTTCTGAAAAGAGAATGTGAGGTTTTCTCATTGTGTCGGATATGCCAGCTAGAGACAATGTTTGGCTTTCATTTCCTCTCTCTGAATCAATTTACCTGTACAGGATTATATAAAAAAATCTAGTTGCCTGCTTATATAGTACCCTACCCTGATAGGAAATGTGATAAATTACAATAGAGCCTTGGGTTGCAAAAACAAAATAAAATAAAAATAACCACTACAATACATAAAGCTGATGGTCCCAAAAAAATGTAATTAAGTAGGGGTGAGGTCGAACCGAGCACACACAATAATCAAATGCCTCTGAGAGTGCCAGTGGGTACAAGGAAACCGAACAAGGAGCCGTTGTATCGTGTAACGACACAGTTGTTACAGAAACCACAAAGATGGGTAAAAGAACTGATCGCAAATGCCGAGCCACTTAGGGTGAATTACCCTAAACTAGGTTTAGTGCCAGATGCAGTAGTAGGTCTAAGCATGGAATGACCAAGAATGGGTTGAGAATTTGGTACGGCATTGAACATAACGCTAGGACTAGGGGGCGAGGACGGGTGTATAGCTGAAAGTGGCAAACGTGGCCCAAGTCCGTACATTCCTTGCTGTGGCATAAACGGCATGTGGGGATGGAGTGGTTGGTTATTGACATAACCAGACATGAAAGGTTGTTGGGAGGCTGTAACAGGCAGCCTGGTGTTTACATTGGCATTATTCATCATTGATGTCCCCGTAACACCTGATAGACCAATAGGACGGGACACCATAGTTGATCCAAATTGTGAGATCAGAAGATTTCGCTCCCCAACAATCCGTTGCCTAGTCCTCTCTATCTGTTCACATTCCCTCATCAACAATGTCTCGACTTCAGCAAACTGCTTCAGCTTTAGCTCCAATCTCTTTAACTGAAAGAGTGAAAGGGACAGAGATACAGTCAGAGGCAAGCAGATCCACTAGGGAGCAATAATACATCATGAGTCTGTTTCATTTAATAAAGATGAAACCATAATTTAATATCTTTCTTTTTACTACAGATAAGTAATTCCCTCAAAATCAATTATTGTACTCTAAATCTGCATGACACTTCCCATTTCCCCAAAAATAGTGGGATGGATAGAGAGTTCAATTTTTACGAATGTACTACTACTACTATGATACTTTCCACCTTTGTTCAAATAGGAGTACAAATCTGATTTAATCTTCTGGATTAGCATAATGTCCCAAGTAAAACAATGCTGAGGCAGAAAGAAGAAAGAACCACTAGTACAGCTAATAGAGTGCAAGGCAAACATTCTCATCATGGAACCGTTCATCTATTACTCTCTCTGTCCTAAAATAAACTTATCATTTCTTGTAATGAAAACGTTAAATGGCTCACATGGTTTCACGTTTCTCTGCATAAATTTCAACTACACAATATACATTTTTCTTTAAACTCTGAAAAATCTAAAGCAAAAGAGAAGTTTAGTTTGCGACGAAATATATCTCCTCCCTCTAATCATTGTGATGACCAACAACAAGCCTAGTAGAATCCTGAATCCCACAATGTGGGGTGGGGGGAAAGTGGTGTACACCTGTTTTTGATATGGCAAGGCGGAAACACGCCGCAAGGCGAGCTAGCCTTACGCGATAATCCATTCCAACCAATTGTGAGCGGAAAACTAAGCCACAGGGCTTATGCCGTGAGGCATTCTTGATGCCATCTTTAAGCCAATTTTTTTAGATTAAGGTTAGATAAGTCCATTCAATTAGCAAAATTTATATTTACCTACTACATATGCCATTGTGATCATCAATTTCTCATTGCCTCTGCTCCCCATCCTCATCACCCAACTCCTCCATGTAAGTTAGCTCCCTACATCGTCATCTCCGATGATTGATGTGTGTGTGTGATTAGGTTAATTGCTGCGTGTGGATGGTTTATTTTACTGTGTGCATTTACTGATTTTCATTTTTTGATATTTCAAAGAAGTTCCAAACAACTTGTTATTGTTTGCATGAGTGTGTATTCTTTTCTTTTTGTGTAAAGAAATTCGATAAAACATACTCCTTACTATTTGCCTGAGCAGGAAAGAAGAGAATCCCAAAACTAGAGGGGCAGCCACCTAGGGCCCATCATAAAAAAGGATCCCAAAACTTCTCTGACTATATATTAGTTTATGGTAAAGAATTATTTTCATCTTCCCACACGAGGCAAGAAAGCTTTTTCGCACTTAAATAATATTCACAAATCTAATTTTCAGACTTAAATAACTATTTTTCATTCCCACACGAGGCAAGAATGCATTGTCATCTTCTCCACAATCTATTTTGTATGTTTCAATCAAATCAGTTATCACTGCTCATTTACATTGCTCATTTTATAAAAATTGTTAGGCTATTTTTACAGACTATTCCGTATGTTATCCAAAATTTACTTTTCAGAAAGTGAAATTTTATCTAAATAAGGGCCCTATTTTTTCATTTTACCTAGGGCCTATAAAATGTCAGGAACGGCATTGTGCCTGAGTGCATTTTCTTTTTTTAAATGAAGTTTGATAAAAACTTGTTATTATTTACCGATAAATTGTCTTTAAATACTTTTATTTGCGTGATGAGTATTATTTGCTTGGATATTTAATGTACACCGGTTCTTAGTATTGTTTTTTTGTATAGGTCTTTTTTACTGATCCTAATTTTAACCCTTTAGAACCCGATGATCTTTTTTGCATTCGTCAATCTAAATTTATCGCCTTCGACCAATATTTTATATTATCTCATGCTAGATTTATTGTGTTTGAGACCCCATATAATTTGACAATATACTTCTACAATGTTTATGGATTAATTATTATATTAATAATGTTCTATCATTCAGCTTTAATAATGTTTTTTGCACATTTTGATACTTCGAAATGACGCTTATGCCTCAGTATGCCTTGAAGCTTACCCAATACGCTTTAATGGAAAAATGTCTTATTTACGCAATCCACCATTTTGAACATTGATGAACGGAGACTATGTCGGGTTGTTTCCACGAAAGCTGCAGCTCAAAACATAAAAGAACCCGGAACCACTGTAATAGACTGATAGCCTGATGATTATATTCCCCAAAGGCCACCAACAGATTCTCTCCAATTAAATCAATCAACTCAGAACTTCTGTGACCCCCCCCCCCCCAAACCCCTCAAGATACGCGCGCGCGCGCGTTATTGAATTGAAAACTATAATACTTTTTTTGTCAATTAAAAAAAGTACCTGATGATTTACGATATTAGCAGATAGTCGTTGTATCTCACGTTCTTCATGATCAGCAAAAAGTTTAGCTTTCATAGATGCTGCGGCAAGACCAATCTTGGCAGCAGCTTTGACTTTTTCACTAGGTAACGGTACAGTTCCTGCATCATGTTGACACCGTTGACCTTATAGCTGTACTCACATTTTTCGTAGATTATTACACACAAGCACACCTATATTTCATTATTTGTAATTTCACAAAGAGGCTACACTTCAAGGCATGCCTCCTGGCCTCCACTCAGCAAATTTACCAGACATTTATAATGAGACCGCTTAAAATAGGCAATGGTGAGGCTTACACAATGTACGCCTCATTGAACATTGAGGCTTAGTTGAGGCTTGAGCAATATTTCAAACAAGGTTTCTAAAATTCAACCCATACTTCTAAAACTAATTTTCCCTTTAAAACTTATCGTACTATATACTTTTTCCACATTCATCTTCTTTATAAAAGCGTCGTTCATTTTTTGATGTTCATATCCGTATATAAAGCCAATCTACCTAAAAAACAAAGCCAGACTAATATTAGGCCTGCAAAGTTTTCCATCAAATCGCAGTAGTGCGGTTGGGTAGGTCACAAATGTCAAGAATTGAGTAGTTGTCAATTTCAACTAGTCAACGAGAGAAAGTTTCAGTCACTAAGCGGGGACCTCAGCCAAACCAACTATCGACCGGGCTTCGAAATGTCAAAGATGTGAAAACAATGTTCTCAAAGAATTTATATAGGCTAAATTTAGTTAAACAAAAAAATTAGAGATATAACTATAATTTATGATTTCCAATAAGTAGAACTTAATAAAATTTAAAAACCGTCCCTCGGTAAGAGATGACTTTTTTATGAGACAGATGAAATAGTAACGTCCTATCTTTCTCCTTTTCAATTTTAGGGTTATTGAAGATCTTGAAATCTAGATAATTAAGTTATTTTAATAAGCTGGTTTATTAAATTGGATGTTTTGTGTCTACAGCCAATGGAGTTAAAACTTAAAAGAATAATTTTTACGATGTTTTAGCTTCATGTAAATAAGGGAATGGATCAAAATGGCACATTAAACTTCCCTTGTTTCAAACTTTCAAGGATCTTTTGGGTAATAAATGCATCAAGGATTCAAGGGTCAAATGAAAAGTGTACAGTGGTAAGGTTACAGCTCAACCCCGACATCAACAGAGTTGGGATTATACTAGGTTTTTTGTTGTATTTTTGTAACAAGCTTGAATAATAAAAAAGTCATATATTCTATTACGCTCCAACTAGAGGCATGTTAAAATATATGAAACCCTAATAAACACAATTCCTGGTGTTAGTGGGCTTAGACCATTCTATGCAATGTTTATATAATTATTATGATTTTGTTTAATCTCTTGTTTGCTTGACTAGTTGACTGACACAATTGCAATTCACATGTCACTTATTACTTTTTTTTATTGTTCTTTTATTGTCTTATTCTTATTCACTATGTGTATATTAAATTCTTATACATATATTGTTTTTAAAATTCTTAAAGTCTTATATATAGATATTCACTATGTTTAACACTAAAAGATAATTATATATATATATATAGGGATTGACTCCAGTCAGATGACACCTTACAGTGAGATGGCATGCTTCGGTGAGATGACGCCAAGCTCACCACACTACACTACAAAGCTCACCAATGGACAATGCAAGCTCACCTGGAAATAATTGTGTTTATTAGGATTCAAGCACCAAAACAGCGGCGGCGGCCGACGGCAGCGCGGTGGTGGAACAGCGGCGACGCAACGGCGGAGCAGCGGCAGCGCGATGGCTTAGAAGCAGCGGCAGCAGACGGGAGGCGGCGGTCAACGGTCAAAATTTAGTCAGCACCCCTTTGATTTTATTTTTTTTCAAAAAAATTCAAAGTGTTGAAAAAATATGGTGAGTTTTGCCTTACAGTTTGGTGAGCTTTGCAGTGGCCAGTGGGCTTTGAGTCATCTGACCCGTAGCATGTCATCTCACCGTATGACCCGTAGCATGTCATCTCACCGTAAGGTGTCATCTAACTGGAGTCAATCCTCTATATATATATATATATATATATATATATATATCATAACACATGAAACAGGAATCATAGTGATTTCCCTTGAGTAAAAGTTCTCATATATATATATATATATCTGTGTGTGTGTGTTCACCATTTGACCACTCTCCATAAAAAAGGTCATCTTGCTTGCCCCTCGCCATTAACAACTACATATGAATAGGTCTTTTTCATTGCACTTTAAAACACACAATAATACAATACTAAATTCTCAATCCTTTTATATTTGGTAAATTTTACCCATGGTATACGAACTTTCATCATTATTTCAGTTCGGTATATAAACTTTAATTTCTTTCACAAAAGTACATGAACTTTCAACATTCTTTCACTGGTGGTCCAATAGGCGGTGTTAAGTCACCTTCAGGTTATTTGGGGTCAAATTATAATTTTATAAATTTAAATTTTATGACTTTGACCCCTTTTCTTTTTTTCTCTTGGTTCTCCACCCTTTTCTTCATCTTCTTCAAGACCCCCCCCCCTCCATTTTTTCTTCTCTACCTCTTCCAGCCCCACCCACACCATTTTTTCGAGATGCCCTTCGCCTTTCAGTCAATGGGTATGTATATATTAGCCGGTGAGAATTTCCCAGCATCTGGCACGAATGGTCCTTTCTCTTTGCAAGACGAGCAGTCCATTAAAGAATCTATTGTTGATGCAATTGTGGAAAACCCAGCAGTGGCTAAACTGAAGTTTCAACAAGGCCTGACAGAAGAAGTTGATGAGGCCAACTCAGACAATAAAAAACAAGAGGAAAAGGAAGAAAGCCCCGATCAACATGGGACTATTGATTTTGATGAGTGGGACAATTGTGAGGATGATGATATAGAAAAAGATAAAATTGTGTAAAGTGAGGAGAAATGTGATGTTTAGAGATTGGTCAGTGACGGGGGAAAAAGAATACAGTGATGTTCCATACTCAAAAATGAAACTACTTTTGAATAATTTACTCGGACATTATCATTTGTTCAATCAATTGGTGATTGAAAAAGAAAAAAATTAACCCAAAGCCCGTGATGAAATCGTGTAAATTCCTTGGCACAAACACACGCATAGACGTGAAGGAAGAGAAAAAATGGTGTGGGTGGGGTGGGGGTGGGGCCAGAAGAGGAAGAGAAGAAAAAAATGGAGGGGAGGGTGGGGGTCTTGAAGAAGATGAAGAAAATGGTGGAGAACCAAGAGAAAAAAAAGAAAAGGGGTCAAAATCATAAAATTTAAATTTATAAAATTATAATTTGACCCCAAATGACCTGAAGGTGACTTAGAAACCGCCTATTGGACCACCGGTGAAAGAATGTTGAAAGTTCATGTACTTTGTGAAAGAAATTAAAGTTTATATACCGAACTGATATAATGATGAAAGTTTGTATACCATGGATGAAATTTACCCTTTTATATTCCCTTTGTCCCGTGCCAAAGGGCACATGGGGCTAATTGTGGAGATTAAAGAGAATTTTTGGAGTGATTGAAAAGGTAGAGAGCAAGGTTGTTAAGGCACCAAGACGAGGCGCCATGGTTGAAAAAGAATAATTTCTAAAATGGTCGTTTGTACCAGGGGGTTTTCCATATTTGGTACATAATTTTAAAATACCCCGCATTACATTTGTGGTACTCAATATTTGACTATATGTGGAAAATAATATTGGATAAAAGACTGATTATCACAAATGTAATATCTTAGAATAAGGTATTATATATGGAAAAACTCATGGTATAAAGGTCTATTTATGGTATTTACACCAGAAAAATGATTGAAAAAGTAAGGGTGATATGTCAAAATTAGGGGTCGGACCTTTGGGGTGGGACAACCAAAAAGGTGGGTTTGTGCCTTTTGGCATAAGACGGAGGGAACATTTATTGCTTCACTTCACAATTAGCTTCTGCTGCCATGGCAGTGGTGGCTTTTCACCACCTGGCATGCCTTTATCTCATCATATTTAACAGAATAATCAATGTGATTTACAAATAACCCAATGACTTCATTTAATAACATGATTCCGACAACCTTGATGTGTGCGCAAACAACAAAAACCCAGTAAGATCCCACATGCAGGGTCTAGAGAGGGTGGATGTATGCAAGCCTTACCCTGCATATCAAGGTTTGCACGTGTCTGTGTGCATGAGTGTGCGTTATGTTGAGCATCTTTATTAAGTAATCCGAATATTGAAATTTTAAGAGCTAACAAAGAAAATGAGTGTGCCAGAGATGTATATGTTTTCATGAATATGTGCCAAGACAAGAAAAGTTAAGAGTTCCAGGAAGATTCGCGTGAAATTTGTAATGGACGAGTAATGGGTATTGAAGATTGATAAGGTGAAATAGTTTTGTCATTAGACATGTTTGCCATTAAGGCTTGAGTGCCATATGAAATGGGGTAGACTGAAAATGGCATGGATCAAAAGTGCACTTTTGAAGAAAAAAATTATTACATTGGTACTTTATAAGCATCCACATGGCAAAAAAGTGAAAATGAGATATATATGAATTCTCATGAAATTTCCTATTGGTTTATGCAGCTCACCTTTGAGATAAGTGATATGAGCTGGCTAATGTTAGGCAGCAATATTTGATACAATAGTGTTATAGTGTATGATTATTCTCATCTACATATTCACATAAATGATGCAAGACGACTTTGTTAATGACTTAATAAACATTCAATAGAAACCCTCCCTCCCTCTAATATATATATATACACACACACACACACACATATATGTATGTATATATATACACATATATTTGACCCACACAGGCACACGCACACATTACATGCATACTAAATGGGAAAAGACAACAATAACATGTGAGGTCACAACATACCTTTGCCTTTACACTGACTAGTGTTTGACAAGTCCTCGCAAGAATTTCTTTCTCTAGCATGCATTGTTCCTACTGTCACCCTGTGCAAATATTAGAACCAAAGATCTCCTCAGGTTCTTTTAAGACATTCACATAGATTAAGTTGAGTTTAAAAAAAATAAAAAATAAACTAGATGCGAACTTCTAGAAACAAATTCTCCCTCTGCCTCACTATGTTGGGACATGGCAGAGTGACATGAAAAATTAAGAAAAGTGGAACTGTGTGGTTGATATTGAATAGGTAGACTACAACTGGAATTGAGACACATAAACTATACCAAAAATGGTATTGGAAAAAAATTAGGACATGCCAATGGAATAAGATAGAGAACACTGGGACTAAGAGAGCATGTGATATTGACATAAAGGGCATTGTAACCTTTTGAAACATTTTTTCTAACAAAGAACAATGTACATAGCACTATAGCAGATTAAGAAATTTTCATTTAAGAAAATGATGCAGTACTGAATTCATAGAGTGCACTATAAGACTTCATTTACAATATATTGTTTTATGATTGCTAAATCTACAATTAATTACCCATACACAGTGTCAACATTGATTGCCCAAATGAAAATGTATGCAGTGAGCCATGTGGTATTTTGGAAGGAATGAAAAGACTGTTGCGTTGCAATTAAGAGAGCTAAAACTATAAGGCAAGAAATGAACAGCCATATTCAAGAGAATGAACGCATGCAACAACATCATTGTGCTAATTTTGCTCTATCTACCTTTTCTTTGCAAAGAAAAAGTACTCCCTCCATCCCAAAACAATATCTCCATTTCCTTTTGGGGTTGTCCCAAAATATACATCCTGTTTCGAAAAGGATCAAGTTTCTGTTTTTTAACTTTGCATCTTACGCCACCTTTTTGCTAAAGATAATGGTCTCTTAAACCTTTGTACCGAAAAGCAAAGGCAAATGGAATGTGGGATGTTTATTTTGGGACAGAAGGAGTGCATTATATACTTCGTCTTAATCAAGAAACAAACAGAAACGGAGAAGAAAGTTAGTTAGTGCAGTATAGCTACTGCAGTAAACTAGCCCATTGCTTCTTTTTTACAGTTTACCCCATAGTCTTTGGATGCCTGATCATTCATGGATCAGTACTACTAACCTGATGCGTTTAGTGTTAATTGTACTTTTAGTTAGTGCAGTATAGCTACTGCAGTAAACTAGCCCATTGCTTCTTTTTTACAGTTTACCCCATAGTCTTTGGATGCCTGATCATTCATGGATCAGTACTACTAACCTGATGCGTTTAATGCTAATTGTACTTTTCATTGGCTTGGGATCTAAGGAGGAAGAACTCCAAAGTAGGGTTTCAAGAACAAAACCTCATCCACCCAATAACAGAGAGGCTTCAAGAAGGAAGAAAAAATACTTTTAAAGTCTTTATTCCATAATAATCATAATACCTAATCATAATACCTAATAATAACTGTCTTCTTATATAGAGGCTTACTTTCCTAAAACACAAAAGGAAACTTAATAATAGAGTCTTACCAAATATCCCCTCCATCCCAAAAAGAGGGTCCTAGTTTGACCCGGTATGACGAAAGTTAAAATATGAACCACAAATTTTTCCAAGAAAGGAAAGAGGAACCTTTTTTGGGACGTTCCAAAAAGGAAATGAGGACAGAGGGAGTAACTACTTGCTAAAGTAAAGTCATATCCAATAATTTTGTTGCAAAATAACAGGAAACTAAATATTGTTAGAAGATTACATTTAATAGTACTAATGAAAAACTTGTAACAGTAAAAATAGTAAACTACTCTGAATAATAATAATCTTAAAATTAATACTTCCTCTGTCCCATAAAAAAGTTCCACATTTCTTTTTGTTCGTCCCAAAAAAAGTTCCATTTTCCACATTTAGGAAGAAATTTGTGGTCTTAATGATTTCTCTCTCCACTGTATCATTTTCAATCATACAATTTCACTTTTCTTAATCTTCGTGCCAAATCAAAGGTGGAAACTTTTTATGGGACAAGAACAATAAGGATAATAATAATAGTAATAATACTCCCTACGTCTCAGAATTGTTGTCACCGTTACAATTTTGGGCTCTTGATAACTTTTTCTTATTTGCATATTTTTGTTGACCATTTGATAAAATAAAATATTCTTGTCACATCTTCTTTTGTAGAACTTTTGATGTAGTTCTTAAAAATTTAATTTGTACATTTTATTTTTATACCAATTTGTAAATAAAATAGAAGTAAATTCCATAAAAGGTCCTTTATAACGGGTGATTTTCCATATTTAGTCCTCAATTAGTCAATTATATTACACTCGTGGTCCTCGGTTTTTAAAACATTTCCATAATGAGTCCTTTGAGACTATATGTGGAAAAAAAATGTTTGGTCAAATTTGGCATAAAGGACTAATTATGGAATAGTTTTCAAAAATTGTGGAACACAAATGTAATATCTTAGAATTGGAGACAAAATATGAAAAAAGACGTGTTATAAGGGCCCATTTATGGAATTTACTCATAAAATCGTTTTAAAAGAGATGGGATTTAGCATATTGTTTGAAGTGTGAGTGTGTGACGATAATTTAGGGACGGAGGGAGTAATAATAATAACAACAACAACAATAATAATAATAATAACAATAATTACTAATAATAATAACTATAAATAATTCTAAGAAAATATTGACAGTGACAAAGATAGCTACTGCAGTAAACTAGCACATTGCTTCGTCATTTCCTCTTCACAGGTTTTTGCATGTCCTGGATGCTTGATCTTTTATGTATCACTAATCACCACTACTTTCACTCTTATAATTGTAATAAAACAATGATTATAGCAACTACCTCAACTCATCGCCATCTCAAATGATATTTTTCTATGCAAATGGAAAAACATTATCATAATAACAGTTTTAAAAATACATCGCATTATTCCTTTGTAAGAAGGTTGCATCAAGAATGGCAGGCTTATTATCATAATAACAGTTTTACACTAAAATCCATGCTGTCAATCCCACCACTATATAAATTAAGGTAAAGATGAGCTTATTTGACACTACCATGCAGTTTACACTACCTGCCACTAAACTAGAACACCTTGTGGACTTGAGGAGGTCAACAACTTTGTTACATGGATCATACCACAATACCACATTCAATGTAAGAAATGGGATCAACTATTTGCTACTCCCTCCCCCCCCCCCCAGCCCCCAGAATATTCATTTAGTTAGATTTTATGAGTCAAACTAGACAAACTTTGATCATCAATTACATTAAATTTGCATTGCATATTAATACAATAAAATAAATTTCTGAAAGTTTTCCACAAGATAAATCATTTGAAATCAGTTTTGCACTAATATGCAATGTACTTTTTATTTAACTAATGATCAAAGATTGTCCAATTTGACTCAAAAAAGTCAAGCTAGACAAATACTTTGGGACAGAGGTAATATGAAATTCCCATTCCATAAAAGGTAGAGAACTTATGCAACTTTAACTATCACTAATTCATACAATCAAATCAAGGCCTATCAATTTTATCCAAAAGGAAATCAATAATAGATGAAAGAAACAAAGAAAGAATATGTACTCATTATTTGGTCTAGATCCATCGGTTTGGCCAGAATTTACAGGTGTTGGTAAGTTATCCTCTTCGGATAAAGCTGCCAAAGATGCATGGGCACATGATGCTGCAACTCTTGGTCCTACTGCAGATGCCAGAAAGGCAACCTATATAATTGGGAATAGAGAGTAGCATCTAAGTTTTTCGAACAATCCATTTCAGCAACATTCATAAATAGCTCTTAAAGCAATCTCCAAAACTATTAATCTTGTGAACATTTTTCCAATTCATATTATTGTAGAAACTAACACATATTAAGAGCAAATATGCAATAAAAAGCTACAACAACAACAACCCAGTACAATCCCATGAGAGTGGGGTCTGGGACAATGGAAAGCTACAAATAATAAAACAGATTCACATAAAAAATTATAAACAAAAACAACTCCAAGCTATATAAAAAACCGTCCAAAATCTTTTCTTTTTTAAAATACTTAAATTGTGTATGCACTGCATTTGGGTGTGAAACATGAAAATAGCATAATGTCGACGGTAAGTCACCTTATTTAGGTATAAAACATGAAACTAGCATAATGTTGATGGCAAGTCACCGCGTATCTAGTAAGCATCAAATCAAAATAAAGAGATAAACAATGCATATGAGCTCTTTTTAAATGTGACTTCTACACTACTCTTTTCGATGCAACGAATTGCGATCATTACCAAGAATAAAATATTTAGCACAAATAGCTCATCCAATTGTTACCACATAAAACATATAGGAGCTTTCATAAGAATTCAAGCAACTGATTATATTATTTATATTTATTACCAGGGCCATGACTGGATTTCCACAATGTGCAAAAGGAAACTTGTCATCAGAACCAAATCCTTGAAAACTTGATCCTTCATACTCTGTGGCAGTGCAAGAACTTACAGATCTAGATGTGCTTGGAACCTCAATGTTCTCCAGATACGTGACATCAAGAGGTAGGCGTACAAAATGAAGGATGCACTGTGCTTTTGACTTAGAGCCAACGTGGTTCGCAATTTGGACCCAGTTTTCATTGTAGAGTTGCATCCCTTCCAAAAGAAGCAGTGTTTCATGATCAGTCCAAGTTTCTCCATCTAGATCTCCATATTCTTTCATAGAGCTGACCTTGACAAAATCCAAACTTGAGTGACCAATTTCAAATTTTCCCTCATGGAAGCAATCCAAACACATTAGCACTTCAGCCTGTGAAAAACATGTTGTGGATTATGACTATTGCCAAATGTTAATTACCAAAAAGCTTTATACCAAGAAAATAATTACTCATACAGGTGATGATAGGAAACTCGAAAAGGACTACCAAACTCATACAAGAAACTGAGTTTGGCACATAAAAGTTGGTAGTTCTTATCTTTGTGGGTGTATCATCAATAGCACTTAGCACAAGACCAGTCCATGCAATGATACATAGATGATGGAAGAATTCTTTGTAAGAAAATTCATGTTCAATGAAATAAATGAGATGCTTTAAGTCATAAAACTTGAAAATGGATACACGATGTCATGAGCAATACAAACATTTGTTCATTCACAAACACATGGCATTAAGAAAACACTGAAAAATGAATTGAGGGTAAAATGCATTGTAATTACAAAAATAGGAAGCTAATATATGCAGAAGAAAAATATAGGCAAATTCAAGTTAATCCACTAGAAAGTAGGTCAGATATGGGATGTATGCACACCATTCTGCCCCCACAAGGTAGAGACTAGAGAGAACCCTTCTTTGACCATATAAAAAAGAAACATTGAGTTTGAAGTATGCCACGCATTAAGTTGGTGGAATAAGTGTTTGTTTGGAAAAGCAGAATTACAATCTTTGAAATCGAGAATTGCAATTCAATTCCATATGAAGTCCTACACGAGTGGATAAGTGAAATACTGATATTTCAAAAACAGCATTTTCTGTGTATTACATAGTTCAGCCATTAAGCATGCTCAATAAAATAGTTAATGACACTTGCTAAAAGTAACTTTAATACAGAAACTGTATTGCATAAGACCTTCATCCCCTAATTTTGAAAAAAAAAATGTGCCAAGGTTTTTTAAGCAGGATGAATACTCGAGACTATTTTTTGTGAATTTACATTATAAGCAGAAGCTAAACAAAAGGATTTAAATCTAACTTCTTTATACATGATGATAATAACAACTTAGAAATGTTAAAGAAAATCTTTCCACTACAAGAAGTCGAGAAAATTGATTTACAACACTGAAAGGAAAATGTGATTCCAAAAACATGTGGTATACCTCCTTCAGGGATTGGTAGTAAACAATTGAAACAGACCGTGAACAGCAGTTGCATCGGTTTTCACACAGTTGCTCCCTGATAGTACTGTCAAAGTCAGATTCCTTGTCAGTGTTATTACCAAGATCTGGATAAACATCTCTTGCCCTGAGCCGACATTTAGGCTTGTCAAAACGAATCAAACTATCAATAGATTTCAAAGTTTCCGAAGGAACACACAGTTCCCCATTTGCATCATTATGTAAGTATGTATCATCCTTATGCAACTCAAGTTTAGGACGATTAGCACAGTAATTGATGATTCCCCAATGATCAAGAAACCGAACAATTCTAGTTATATCATCAACACTAACACCACCTACTAGCCCCTCACAATCAGCCACCGACAGGTACTTTTCTGGATTCTCCATATAATTTGCAACTATTTGATTTCTACACTCCATGTATTTTTCAGGTGAATGATCACCTGACTTCCCAGAGAAAAAATGTGGAACTACTTGTCTTTCCAACCTATGTACAGTATTTGGAGAAAACCAGTCTGCTCACAGGAGAAAAAATGAAACATGCACACATTTAGAAACCATAGCAGAAAACTTCCTTACACAAGAAAAGGAAAACATTGTGCTCTACTGCTCTTCATATCAATGTGTTAACAGTTAAATTGCAAGATAAGACAATAGAAATAAAATGAGGAGTACAAGCCATGAAATAATAGAATGTGAGACTGCTCTATCTACGGGGGTAAGTTGCAAGTTAGTTGTCAGTTAGTTGCAAGAAAGTTAGCTTGTGTTAGTATCTGTCTCCATAATTAGTGTCTAAGTTCAGAAAAAACATGTGTTGAGGTGTAGATCAAAGCTAAGAACTTGTATATCTGATGGTTCCAAAATCGGTACAGGAATACTAGTATACTGGGGTTAACTCCATAAACTTCATGAGAGGATGTTGTAAATGATTGTCTTTCTTGAAAAAAGCCCAGAGTATAATTACTGAGATTGGTAAATATATGCCAATTGGTGAAACCAATGTTCGAGATGGTGTATTGCATATATAAGGTGTATTTCCTTCCAGGCGTATTGCATAAGCCTCAAGCATGGTGAGGCGTAAGCCACATTTTTTTAGAATCAGCATGTGCACAAAAGATGAATAAAAAACATTATTAATAACATAAGTAATCTATAAACATTGTAGAAATATTTAGTTAAATTATAAAGCCTCAAACACAACAAAGTTTAGCAGGAGATAATATAAAATATTGGTCAAAGGCGGTGGACTAAAGTCTTAAATTTAGGATCAAAAGATGTTGCATTTCCTCCATCCTCTTCCTTAGAACAATTCGAATCAGTATACATAAAACATCTAAGCATTTTATTTAAGAAATAATAATGGCAAATAATACTCATCACTCAAATAAAAATATTTAAAGACAAGATTTATGGCAATAATAACAAGTTTTATCAAACTTCTTCAAAAAACACACTCAGGCAAATAAGTTCATTGAACTTCTTTTAAAAAATTGCACTCGGGCAAACAATAACAAGTTTAATTAAACTCTTTAAAAAGTTGCACTCGGGCAAACCATAACAAGTTTAATCAAACTCCTTCAAAAAAACAAAATAAAAAAATGCACTCAACAAATTATGACGCACACATGAGCAAATAACCTAATCCACTCAGTCACTCACACATCAAACATCAGAGATGATGATAGAGGGAGCAAACTTAGCTGGATGAGCTGGGGGACGAGAATGAGGAGCAGAAGGGATGAGGAATTGACGGTTGACGATGGCATGGGTGGCAGTAGGTTCTCAGATACACTTCAATTTTGCTAAATGAATGGACTTTTTGAAGCCGACCCCACCTAGTGGGATAAGGCTCTGTTGTTGTTGTAATGGACTTTTTGAACTTTAATCTATAAAAATGGCTTAAATATGGTGTACGCCTCAAGAACGCATGGCGTAAACCATGACGCTTAGTTTTCCATCCACAATTGCTTTTAATGGATTTTCGCGTAAGGCTAGCTCAACTTGAGGAACTTTTTTCCGGTAGACTCCCTTAGGTGTGCCTTGAGGAGCATATTTGCCTCGCCATTTTGGGTGAAACACCTCCCTGAAAAACTAGCCCAACACAAAATATTCTGTATGGAGCTTTTCCTGTCAAAACTCAACCAATGTTTGATATTACTTAAAGAAATATTTGCTGTAGTAACATGGTTCCACGTACCACAGGGTTATTCAAATGACTCTTACAAGTCGCATCTATCCCATTACTAGTATTGAATGGTCTATTCTCAAATCTTCATATACATGGCTAAAGAGGCATTGGTCAGGACAAAGAGCATGTAACAGTCAAAGAAATGCTAGACATTACAATCACTGTAACAAAGGCTGTCCCACACTCCCACTTGAGAACCATGTTGGAAGCTAAATGGTAAGCCTGCTAATTTGGCTCAATTAAATTTAAACTAGAAACATTATGTCCTTGAACTATCTCTGCAACAGAATGTAAGGAACTTGAACATTTAAAGCCAAGACCAAAGTCTTCAGTAGGATACTCCTGAGGAGTCTTGTCCTTCTCTCGATCCCCAAGAGCCTAGACTTCTAGAGCACACACAACACATCCCTAACTGTATGGCAAAAAAAATCCCAAACCCCCAACCATAGTTGTCGTGGAGCCAAGGCGAGGCAAGGTGCTACTGTGCTAGTGTACCGATGAGACAGCTAGGCAACAAGTAGGTGACAGATAAAAAATGAGAATTATTATACATTAGTAACACTAAAATAAATATGAGTATATCACATTATAAATTGTAGGTCATTAATTTTATATTTCTAATTCAACAATGTTCTACTTTAGGCGCCAAAAAATCCAAAGAATAATCATTATTGTGCTAAAATAAAAATCTAAAGAATCATGATTACTAAGGCTATCATGAGTGAGTATGAAAAAAAAAGAAAAAGAAAAAGAAAAATAGTAGGCAAGAGAGTACGGAAAAAAAAGACAAATACAAATACATAGTATAAAATTAATTTTGAAGGAGCTCGCTTCTTCCTGGGAATGAATTGAAGACCAGAGAGTCAAAGAGGTCAGCTTACATCAAGACCCCTATCTAGCGACGGCGAGAGAATCATCTGCAGTTGAAGTTGAAGAGTGTGGTAAAAAAACATGGAGTCCTTGGGGAGCGTCTGGACGCCTTGCCCCAAAGGTGACACCTTTCCAGGCGAGTCAACAATGCATGGCAAGAAAAGCTCTGCACCTGGATGCCAAGTCGATGCCTATGCGATGCCGTGAGAGCTATTCCCCCAACAACAGACAAGAAATATGCTAGTACACCAATCCAGCTTCTCCAACAACTTTTCTTGATCATGTCCCCGCTCTCAAAGAGGTCCAAAGGTGTCATGTCAAGCCTCAGCTGCTTATCCCATGATATCCTCTCCTCGTCAACCCTTGGTAAAACACTCACTACCTTCCTCACCAATGTTGTGGCATCTCTCTGACAGATGTGAACAAACAACCACAGACTTCTCTTTCTTACTCTATACTCTGAAAATTATGTTCCCATTTTTCATTTTGAGACATCTCAAAATAAAGCTTGCATTCCTTTAAGCAAAAGAATTTTGTGGATGATACTCTGTATAATTTCTCTCCTACCTATTCTTGAACTTTTTTGAAAAAAATAAAATGGGGACTTGATTTCAGGATGTAGTATTGGAGCATAAAACACACATGGAGTACCACAATAGTCTTTTAGCTAATGAGCTCAGAACATATTGTTTTAGTTCATGCAACTGACCCCCTAGATTTGAGATTCAGATTGGGTTATTGTTGTGGCAATTGATGCTGTGCATATATATGTATATATATACACACACACACACACACATTCCCGAAGTCTAACTATGTTTGTCTAGTTCCTATAACGAGGTTGGGCTGAAGTTATTTTCAACTTAATTTTTGTAATGGCTAATTTGGTATAAGCAAATAAACTCTGTATAATTAAAAACCACACAAATATCTATAAAATAAGAGGAGTCATTCCTATTTAATTGTAAAACCCTGTTGAAGAAAATAAAAGATAAAAGAAAATTGCAGGATGACAGAGATACAGTAGTAAACAAGATATGTGTTTTGTGAACGGAGTAAAAATACATCAAACTAGGGTCATCGTAAACTACCTGCGTGCATTGGGACAACATGAATGCGGCCCGCACTTCCAAACCTCTTAACCACACCACTTCCCGGCATGATATGTGGAGGTGTAATCACATACGATCCACTTCCATCTCCTCGTTCATCCAGTCCCAAGGCCGGACAATCAGCTGGCACAGCTGAGGTCGCCTGAAGTTGCCCGTGCGAAATATTCTCCAAAACCACCCTAGCCCGCCCCTGGCCCTTTCCATCCCCACTTTGCCCGGCCATTTCCATAGCAACCACATTCAGCACAGACGAATGGGGACACACAACAGCACGCTTGATCACAAGAGGGAACTCACAGATCCTATCCCCACCCTCGGCCAGCAGCTCACTCTCCTTGGCCGAGGCGGCCCGATCAGCAGAGCTGCTAGGGTTTTGGTGGTCCTCATCAATTTCCTGCTGCTGCTGATCCTGGTCTTCTTCCTCTTCATCGTCCTCAAACCCATCGTCTTCCTGCTGAGGCCTGGGCTTCCGAGAAATCAATGGCTTCCTCTTCTTCCACCTGGACCGCGCCTCTGCGCAGCAGCACCACCATTCTCAGACACTCGAAATCACAAATTTCGCAAATCAAAACGCACTCACGCACGCACACAGCTACCTACAAACATACACAAAAATAAAAAAAATTGATAATTGACTGCAAGTTAGGGAAATTGGATGGAACCTGATGAAGCTGGCATTGTCTAGTGCGTTGAGGGGTTTAAGAGAGAGAGAGAGAGAGAGAGAGAGAGAGAGAGATTCGTGGGGTCTGTGCTTCGTGGCTTTGGATGAAGGGCGGAGCGCAGCAAGAAACATGAAGGGTGCGGATCCTATTTTTCCCTTGTTACCCTTTTTTTCGAACTAGACAAGTGTGAGAGACTTGCTTTGTGGCAAATTGTATCTTACATCCAAATGTACCTTCTTTTTCTTACATTATCATAAATTTGTAATTAAAAAAATACTTTAAAACAAACAATATATTCTCTCAGAATTAAAACTATGTTATTTCAGAATAAAGATTATTTTACATTGTATCAGAATAAGTACTACATTATTTCTGAATGAACATTATGCTAAACATACTTTAAATAAACACTGAGAAAATGAACATTTTATTGATTCAAAATAAATATTCGACAGACGTGTCTAGTCGGGTATACGGTTTGTACATTCTATGCTTTGTGATGTTGCATTTGGTTTGAATTATTTCAAAAGTGTTAGTTAATGTAAGAGGACTAGGGTTTAAATGAATCATAGTTAGGATTTTGCTATAAAGACTTTGTTTGGAAATTGGATCTTTAATTAATATTTTAGCGTTTCGGATAAAATCTTAGTAGATTATATTTATTTTGAAAACCCTAGCACTAAAGGATATCGTTAGGTAGTGGTATTTCTATGTATTTATAAGCTAGTCAAAATTATTTATCAATTGTTTTTAACTTATAAGTTAGCTGATAACGCATTCTTATGTGTTCATAAGCTAACTTATAAACTGCTTATAAGTCAAAAAATAAGTATGTCGTACTTACTTTTTTTCATTTCTCTATTATAACCAAATTATTTGCATTACTATTCCCCACCTTTATAACTATCTCTTAATCACGTCTCCATCCTTTAAGACATTTTACTTCCAGGAAAGAATATTTAACTTAAAAGTAGTTTATAAGTTAAAAACTGATCATCACTAGTAAGTCAATAACACACAAGCAGTGAAAAATACCTTGTAACGCCCCGAAACCCGGCCCATAAAAATTAATTAATTAAGAATAATTAATTAATTATTGAGAAATTTACCTAAATAAGACTAAAACATAATGACTTTCCCAATATAGGACCATGTGTTTTTATTTCCCAATGTAGGACTTTTGGTCATTATCATGTAGTCATTATTCAAGTAAATGTCAATCATTACTGGACATTATCCTTCTACTAGGTCATTATTAAGTCTCATTTAGGGAATAAAAAAGTTTAAGTTCTACATTGGGAAATGCATTATGTTTTAGTCCTATCCTAGAATTAATTAATTACGGTGCCCAGAACCCCGACAAGACAAATCCATAAAAGGGACTTGTTATTTGTGGCTTGCTATTGCTTTTTTTATCAAATAAATAGTGGTATAACAAGTCAGTTTTTGCTATCTTTTCCAACCATGACTTGTTATATTATACGTTTTTCATCCCAAAATGTTTTACTCATTTTGATCAACATGCAAAACCTCATGACTTTTAAAATGATTTTATTTACAAATTTGTAAAAATACAAAATAAAAAATTATATTTAAAATTTACGTCAAAAACTTTACAAAACAAGAGTTGATAAGAATATTTTATTTTATCAACTGATCAATGAAGACACGCAAACAAATAAGAGTTATCGAGATACCATAATAGTAAATGAGTATTTTTTTGGGACGGAGGGTGTAACTAACAAATATATTTTGTTCCAATAACCATTATAATACATAAAATATAAAAGTTCTTGAATTGTATTTATCCATGTAAATGTAAAACAAAAGTACTCCCTCCGTTCGGAAAAGAACTTTTCATTCTACGTTTTTCTCCGTCCGGAAAAGAACTTCCCATTATACGTTTTCATACCCAATCTTCATAAAATACCCTTCCTAAAATAACAGTATGTAATTAAAAAATATAAAATAAAATTATTCTAATTAAAATAAAATAAATCAAACAACTCTAGCCTTCTCATGGTAAAAAAATCACATTCACATCGGGGAAAAAATTGTTATACGGAGTATTTGTGCAGTATATATCATTGCAAAAGAAGTTCACATTAATTTTTGTTTAACTATATTCTAGCATGCTTGTTATAAATAGCAAGTTGTTTTCATTTTTTAACATGCTAGTCAAATTTTAAATAACCCTTTGGAGCATGAAATTTTGTATATGCTTGTCAAATTATAACATATAACAAATCATTTTGATATGGTTGGAGATGCTCTAAGTACTCCATATTCCACCAACCACTGTCAAATTTTGAAAGATAAGCCTCATATATCCCCAATCACCTCATAACAAGTAGAACAATCACTTAGAGGTAAATTGAGTTATAGTACCTCTCTCCCATAAAATATTTTATCTTTTAACTTTTGAATTGGAAACTGTTGAAGTTTGACCAATGTTAAACAACAATAGTTGAAACTTGAAACCAGTATTACTAACTCGAGAAATGTCAAAATGGATATGCCGTAGAAGGTAGTTGAGGTAAGTTCAATTAGATTTAAGAAAATTAAGGCAATTGTTGTCATTTAAAGTAAATTGAAATGTTTTATGGGACAAATAAGATATAAAAGTTGAAAAGTTTTATGGAACAGAAGAACTATATATATAATTACAAACTAGTTGTAATGAGTGGGGGCTTGAATATGATATATATTTAGCATAATTGGCTCATAGTGTAATTGCTAGAAGTCGATCAAATTTGGCCTTATCTCTTTTGACACCCTTCAACCTGTTGAAGGACGCCCATGAGCATCAAAAATTCAAAAAGATTAGGGGTGTACCCCATTTGTACCCCGCTCCATCCCCACCATACAAAAGCGAGAGAAAAAAATAAAAATAAGAAAAGAAATGAAGGACAAAGATGCATGATGTACGAATTGGTACACCAAATGGTGTACCACTAGCATTCCTCCCAAAAGTTTCATATTAATTTTATTAAAAGAAATGCTACTTGGGGGTATAATTCTAATATATATAAACATTAATTGGATGGGCTAGGCAGGCAAAAGGCAAATGCTATAAACATTTAGAAAGAATCTTTCCATAAAGAAAACATAAATAAATTGACCTTACAAATTACAACCCACCTTCACATCATTACAACCATATTTTCATAATCATAGACATTATTCACTGTTTACTTTATTTATGCACGCTAAACTTTTCATATTCAGAAATATTTTTATTATACCAATCGTATTATCACGGAGCAATATTTCTTAATAATTTTTATGAAAGAATTTTAAAAGACTTATTGGTAAAAATTCACATGAATAGTCTTTAAACTTAAGTTCAGTTTGGTACATGAAATTCAAATTATAAAATTGAAATTAGAGATAACAATTCCAATTATGTTGTTTGGTAGCACAAAAATATTTGAATTTGGAATTGGTAGTGCCAAAAATAAATTGGAATTGGAAAATTATATTTAATTCCATCCAAATGAATTTTATAGAATTTCAACTTTCAATTCAATTCTAATTCCTTCAATTTTGTGCACTAGACGGACCCTTAGTGATTTTGCATGAATATCTATGAGAATCAAAGAAACATCTCATTTTGCAAGAATTTTCCTCCTTTAATAAATAAAATGATGGTAGTATCTCGAGTATTTTCATTAACATGTTAATAATTTTTGGACTTTATTTGGACAGCAATAATGATCACGTTGTAATTTTGAGAAATTCATGTAAAATCACAAATTCGAAATATTATTGGCAATTTTTAAAAAATAATAATTAACACACAAATTCAGATAGGGAGTATTTTTTTTTGTGTTTTAAGAAAGACTTTAAAGGAAAAAAACCAAACCACCAATTTCCAGGTCAAAAAAAGCATTGACCTTTGCAAGATCACCTCTTCCAACTTCTACTTCTTGACAGTGGATCTTTTGTGATTCCTTCAACAACCCAAGTCTCCTTTACAATATCTGTAGAGATTGTGCATAATTTCTTCCCATATCTCGTCTCAACTAAGCTTTCTCCCTCATACATTTCAGCCATTGTTTTTGATGAACTCTCATCTCCAACTTCTTCTTCATGATCATCATAGACATCATCACCCACCTTCTCTTCTAGCCAGCTCTTAGGCGGAGCCGAGCGGCACCGCATGAGCAAGAGAGCGTTGCGTGGCGGGACCATGCCACAATCCGCCCCGGAAGCTTTTCCGCGTTCTTCTTCTGCGGAGCTGGCTTCCGGGTTCTGGGGTTCTTCCAAGACCATGAACCATTTAGAGAACATGGCTCTTTCTTCGGGTTTTGCCTCGCCTCCATCATCAGTGTTCTGTGTGCCAGTGTCTTCTTCTTCTTCTTCTTCGTCGTCGCCGTCGTCGTCGTCCTCGTCATCAGAGGTGGCAGAAGAGGGGAACGCGCCAAAGCAACGAAAGTCGAAGCGTACGCCACGCAGGCACGCGAAGAATTGCATCACGTCCTTCTTGAACCAGAGGGGGGAGGACGGCGATGAGCCCTTGTAAGTATGGCGTCTTTCGTGCAGCTTCTCTATCTCCTCCATGACGGCCTGCCAGTTCTTACCTGAACTGGCAGGCCGGCCTGGCCGGACCTTGATCTGTCCGGCACAAGTGACTTTAGGAGATGTTGGCTCGGCAATCTCGGAGGCTTGCTCGCTCCCTCCGGATCGCAATGCTAACAACTTCTTACGGTGGTGGTGGTTGCGTTTGCTGGCCTGTAAGAGCCTGGCCGGGCTACAAATGGGTTTAGGACCTTTGGGCATAAGGGTTAAATGTGATCTTGAAGGAAGGCAAACTAAGAGGTCTTTTGATGCATTGGCATAAGGGCATATAGGCCTCTTGCTCTCTCTCACATTCATTGTGTGGCTTATTCCCTCTCTCTCTCTCCTTGTTGAAATCTTTTGGCTATCTTTAGTTTTGAATCACATCTCTCACCAAGTGTGTTTATTATGGGGGGTTTTTGAGGTGTATGAGGACTACCTTAGCTTTTTGAACTTTGAAAAAAGGAAGCAAAAGTGGAAAGTATGGGGTAGTGGCGATTTGTATAATAATATGCTTTATGATTTGTATGCTCACATGCATGTATCATGTATATGTAACTTGATCATGTTTCCATGGGTGTTTAATGCTTTAATGCCAAAAGTGCTTTCTTGCTGGGATAGGATAACAACCATGATATGTGGGTTCTCAATGAGTATGGTGCATCTTAAACCATAACTAAAACATAATAACTTTCTCAATATAGAATCATATATTTTTATTTCTCAATATAGGACTATTGATCATTATTCATTAGTCATTATTTAAGTAAATATCCACTATCACTGAATATTATTCCTCCCACTAGACATTATTGAGTATTATTTAGAAATAAAAAAATTTAAGTCTTACATTGAGAAATGACTTATGTTTTAATCATATTTAGTACAAATTTTTCTTTTTTTTTAAATCAAATTTTACAAACTTTACTCATACATTATGAAAAAAATTTTATTTAATTATAATTAAAATTTAGTATAATTAAATTCATTTTGAATATCTAAAATCACATACTCCCCTTGAGCCGGATATATTTTTAGATGAATCCATTCTTGATTAAATTATACAAACTTTGATCATAAAGTAAAAGTTGCTATAATGTAAACTTTATTAAATTGGATTCATTTTGAAACTTAGTTTTGTGTATGAAATTTTATACTTTTTTGTTTTCCTTACTCATTAGTTTAAGGCATGAAATTTTATACTCTGTACTTCATAACATTTATATATTTATATAAAATAGTAATTATTTTGTTTTTGAAAAAAACAAATAAAATTAGTAGTAGTCTAAGGGTCTGTTTGGTGAGGAAAACAAGTATGGTATTTGATATCTAAGATATCAAATTCTTAAAAAATATGTTTTGTGAAGATAAAAAGAAATTCAAATGATATCTCCATATATGGAGAAGTGCCGCAACTTCAATTCGGCATATGAGTTTTGATTTTCTACTTGTTTTCATTTAACATTTTTTTTTTGTTTTTATTTTTTAAATTCTTTTTAATTTTTTTCTTTTTAAAAAAATTTATGTGCTCTAGAATATTTCTCTAACGTGAATTTTATCCATTTACTTATGATGTGATCTAAGATATTTTTAAATGTGTAACAACTTATAAAAAAACTCGGCATTCACAAAAACATAAAAATAAAAAATCAATAAAATAATAAAATTTCATTAACAAAATTATAAATAAAACTTTATTCTACATTTCTAACCAATATAGTATATCTACGTTAAAACATTGTCATACATTTGTATCCTATATTTATTTTCTTAATTAATTGCTCACCAAACAAATATCATTCAGTTTTCAGAACCCATATCATTTCTCTCAGATTTTATAATTCATTTCTTATCATATCTCTAAAATTTACCAAACAGGTCCTAAGAATATTTTTTTGAGAGTTAAGTTTTATTTATAAAAAAAAGCCAGGGGGACACAAAAGTGATGACTCCACTTTAACCCCGTGTATCAAACAAAGAGATAGACACGGACTATTATTGTGTCAATGATTTTTAATTTTTATGCATATAACATATGCTAATCATTAATATATTAATATATCTTCTCATATGATTGTTAAAGTGGAGTAAAAATTATGGAATAGTTTTTGTAAAATTTTCATTAAAATCATATAATCACTATTTTTTGCGTTCACATAATTTTTGAAATAATACAAGGGAGATTAATCATTATATTTTTAATGTATTGTAAAATTTATATATCTTATCATATGATTGTTAATTTATGTTTTCATAATTTTAATAGTACAAGAAAAAGGAGTCAATTTTGAATAAGTGCAAAGGGCGAAGGAGAGGAAGAATCACATTAATGTGTCATAGAAATTAAAATCATATATTTCCATTAATGTAAATTAATCTAGCGGAGAAGAATCTTGATTTTTTAATATTAAAATTACAGGATCAGAAATCTAAGTTTGTTAAATAAATGCGGGGGAGAAGAATAATAAAATCATTAATGTTTTTGCCGTATATTTTTTGAATTAAGGGGTGAGAAAAATTATATATTTGTAATAATTTAGTAAACCTAGATTTTATATATTTGTGTGTGTGTGTGTGTGTGTGTGTGTGTGTATAATTTAGTAAACCTAGATTTTATATATATTTGTGGTCTTATTGTAAAGTTTTTAAGTTGACGAAGAATATGAGATTACATTCATCAACGTCCTCTTACGTAGATAGAGACACGCAAGATTTTTCTGATCGGATAATCAAAGTTGGAGATGGAAAGCTTGGACAAGTGATTGATGGAACTGCTGACGTTGAAATTCCTCTCAAATTTTTGATTATAGATAACAGTTCACCCCTCAAAAGTATAGCGGATTTTACTTATCCGAACTTATTGGAGAAAAATGAGAAGTTATTCTTTTTTTCAAGACAGTGCACTACAAGCACCCACGCTCGAAGTTGTAGAAATGGTAAATAAATTTGTCTTATCCCTCATTCCCGGAGATGAAATGGTGTACTTGAGTTCTGATTCATCATGCCAAGCAGATTCAGAAGTAGGTGTTGATGGCGACTGGATAACAGTTTAGTTTTTGAATGAAATCAAATGTTCGGGAATCCCAAACCACAGGATAGTTTTAAAAAAGGGGTACCAATTATGTTACTGAGGAACATTGATCAAACATCTGGATTGTGTAATGGTACAAGATTAATTGTTGACGAGATGCGAAAGAATGTTATTGGTGCTATTGTGGTTTCGAGAAATCGAGTGGGCGAAAAAGTTTACATACCCCAGATGAATTTGGTAACGTCTGATCAAGAACTACCTCTAAAGTTCTAGAGAAGACAATTTCCAATAGTCTTATGTTTTGCTATGACTATTAACAAAAGTCAAAGTCAAACATTGTCATTTGTTGGATTATTTTTAACCAAGTCAGTGTTTACTCATGGTCAGCTCTATGTTGCTGGTTTGCGAGTAAAGACAAAGACAAGATTAAAAATATTAGTCTTAGATGACAATGGAAATCCTTGCAGCCATACCAAAAATGTTGTATACATTGAAATCTTTCAAAAAATTTGGTATTAAAGCAAACTTTGTTGTGTGTAGATTCAATTCCTCATATATTATTCTTTTTACTTTGTCTTTCTTTTCTGTGTTATTATAAATCATGCATTAGGTATATTTACTTTATTCCGGAAAAAATATTACATTGAATAAATTCAGAATCGATAAGATATTCGTCCGAACCCGTGCGTGGCACGGGTAGGAATACTAGTTAATATATATAAATGAGAGTCCAAACTCTAAGAATATGACATGTGGCATTGCTAAGAGCTAACATGTGGCATTACTAAGAGTTGATATGTGTCATTACTTATGTGGCTTTTTTATACAACCCAATTTATGAACTGAATAAAAAGAAAAGAAAATTATTTTTATGTAGCCATTTCTAACACCTAAAATGTCACATAATTTTTCATATGGAAAATATAAATTAAATGTTTGGTAAGAAATATTTGATTAAATATAAATATCGGAAAAAAAATTCGTTTTTATAATAATATTCTTTCTAAATTCTATATTTTTTCTCTTTAATTATAAAAAATTTTTAGAATAAAATATAAAATACTCTCTTCACCTATAAATAAATTTTATTACTATTTATTATACCTTTACTTGAAATTAGTTTTTTGATTAAATTTATTTAAATATTGACACCTAATAAGTAAATTGCTTTCTTCACCAACAAATAACTTTAATATTTATTTTGATAGCTAATAGTCTAATATGCCACTTAATTAAAAATATAAAAAAATGTCCAATCAATATTTTGGTATGAAATCTTTGAATAAATTTAAGTATGCAAATGAAACATTCATTTTAATGATACTATCCTTTCCCAATTCAAAAATTTTTACTCTCTTCTTTTATAATAAAATTTTCAACCGATAGATAAATTGGTTTTTAACCTCTAAATCAATTTGATACAAGTTTTTGTTTATGATATATTAAAACGAAGTTAGTTTTGGTTTGAATCATTGAAATATTGATGTAAAATTTAAAACACATAATATATTTTAAAATTTACATCAAAAGATATATAGAATAAGAGATGACTAAACTATAATTATATTATAATAGAAAAAGAAAAAAACTATAAGATATTTTTGTAAATTTCAACTCAAAATCATAGAATCACTAATGTTTTTTTTCTATTAATTTATTTAATTAGTGCTAATGAATAGAATCATTGGATTTTTAATTATTTTTTATTTTAATTTTTTGAATTATAGAATTGCTAATCTAAGATTTTATTTTTGACTTATGCGGGGAGAAAAGAATCATTTCGATATTTTTTAATCAATGTGAGAGAGGAAAATCATGATAATACGTGAGAGATGAATAATATTTATTTTTCTATTCAAAATTAAAGCTGTGACACAGGATAGAAGAATCATATTCTTTGAATCATAACTAATGCAAGGAGAATAATAATAGAATCACCAATATATTTTTTTTATTAAACTGTGGAAAGAAAAATAATATTTTTTTAATGAATATGAGGAAGGAGAATAATATTAATGCGGGGAGATGAATCAATTTTATTATATGGGGAGAATCTTTTTTTGCCCATCAATGATGGTTGTATAATGGCTACGTCAAGATTGATGTGGGTGATTTAACGGGGTTGGCTGATAGACTGTTGTGGTTCATTTTATTGCTTTAAATTATCAAGGGGCTTTATGTTGAAACACGGGTTTATCACGTTTTCGTACTAAAGCCGGCGTTCGTTGTTATGACAGGTTTTGATAATGCCAAACCGCCATGAACGAGACAAGTCATTGAATAGACAAGGCGAGAACCAAAGATGATAAGAAAGAGAACAAGAGCCAAACGAAGACCAAGAACGAAGACCTTAATCATAGTATTGAGTGGGTCTTTATTGTGATCAAGACCGACTCAATCTTTACACCTTGGCTCTTTAGGCTAAAATCTCTCATTGCATTTCTTACATCATAAAAATGGTTTTAAACTTGTTTAAATCATTAAAAACACTTGGTGTTCGCCCAAACCAAAAACCAAGCCATCCAGTGTTCGGCTTTCAGAAACCAGCGTTCGGCTTTCGGTTGTCGGGTTTGGTTTTTGGCATCCGAACCAACCAAGTGGTTTTCAGCATTTTATGATCTGCTTTCACTCTTTGGCATGTCTAAACGGTTCTCCAACAAAAACACTTTGAAAACCATCTCTCGCTTTTAGTCGTTTGACAAAAACCACGCAAAACGGCGTAAACTTGGCTAGCCGTGGTTTTTACTCAAATGACGTGATTTTTAAAGTGTCTCACTTGATTTCTTAGCCAAATACATCAAATAAGTGTTTTAAACACTTGGTTTTTATTTTGGAGAACTTTGGTTTTTTCGGTCGGTTTTTGCATCGGTTGGCTAGGCCGTGGTTAAGGCAAAAACCACAAGTTTTTGGCTAACCACCCACCCAGCGATGGGAAGAACATCCCATCGATGGGTAAGTAGCCCCTTAGCCAAACCAACTTCCAGAACCATGCCAAACAGCGATGGGAAGCTCTACCCATCGTTGTTCAAGCCTTGGTCCAATATTATCACAAGGCAGAATGCCCTTACCCAGCGATGG